CTGCCTCCGCATCCCTCCTCCCTCCTCCCTCCTCCCTCCTGCCTCCCTCCTCCCTCCTCCTTCTTCCCTCGTCCCTCCTCCTCCTCCTCCTCCTCCTCCTCGTCCTCCTCGTCCTCCTCCTCCGCCTCCTCCAGCGCTCGCGGCATCGCCCGCTCAGCGGCTGCGGGGTATGCCCACCGTGTCGGTGGACGAGCCGCCGCGGATCGGCTGGACCTCGATGCGGGTGCCTCGGCGGCGACAAGCTCAGGGAGAAGGAGCAGAGGGAGGAGGAGGAGGAGGAGGAGGAGGAGGAGAAGGAGGAGGAGGAGTAGGAGGGAGGACAGAGGGGGATAAGGCAGCAGGAGGAGGAGGAGGAGGAAGAGGCACCACGCCCGAGACATGCTGTCGAGGGACAGGCCCTCTCTCTGAGTCTCGGGCGGCGCCCAGGCGCGGCACCTGCCTTGTCTGCGCCAAGACTCGCGCCCTGGCTGGCGCGCCGGCGGGCGTGCTTGCCCGGGCGGCCTCGCCTTGAGTCCTTACTCTTCGGTCCCTTCTCGAGCTCCTGCATCTCCAGCGCCTCCTCCTGCCCCTCCTTCAATTCGGTCACCTCCTGAGCCTCCTCCTCAACGTCGTTCTCCTCCACCTCCTGGGTACCCATCGTAGGCGCTGGCGTAGGCCTCGCTGTGGTTGTGGCCGTAACTGGAACGTTCATAGGTGCCACGTGATTGCCAGAAGGATTCCCAAAATTGAAATGCCCTCTGGAGCTCTTCGATTGTGTTCTTCTGCTCGGCCATGCGTTTTTTTAACATGCAACTGGTCTGCAATATCTTGTTGTGCCGCGAGCTGACGCCCCTTGCTGGCTACGCGGAGGTTCCGTGACCAGGTATTGTAGGTGTTGTCCTCGGAGCCGAGCTTATATCTATTATCCGGCTTCACTCACTGCAAGAGTGCGTCTTGCCGACGCCTGGACATGGCTCTGGCTGCCGCGGGTGCGGCTGCTGCCAGAGACCCGACCTTTGCGGAGCTGGACTGGGTCTCACAGGAGCGCCTCGGTAGGTCTCTGGACGACCTGCAGAAGCTGCTACACCCTGCGGACCGTGGAGAACGAGACCACTGGGAGCGATGTGCTCACCAGGGCCACTCACCTTAGCACACCCAGGCTGCAGAAAGAAACACATGTGGCACGTGCCACAGAGTGCATCGACCCAGGCGCAACCATCCGTCCTGACTTACCAGTGCATCTGGCGAACGTACGCGAAACATACACATCAACCAGCGCATGTCCTATTCCGATTTCGACGTCCTGATACCCACGTGTTGGGCCACGCCTCATCTACACTCAAGGCTGCGCGGCCTTCCCGGAAGCCAACTCAGGATCTGGCTGGGGCTTGGCGAAGAGGAGGCTGCGATCAGTTTCGTGGTCGGCTCCCAACTTAGAGATCCTCGGAGAGATCGTCACGTCTGACCGCGTCGCTGCGTCGCCTGGAGCACCGCCCAGCCTCCCCAGGGAACCCCGGCATCGAATCGACAAGTCGAATCGGGTCGACCCGTCGGATCGGGCGAACTCGAAAGTGGAATCGGGATCGGAGTGTTCGCATCGAGTCGGACCGAATCGGCAACCTCCGCCTCCTCCTCCTCTTCCTCCTCCTCTTCCTCTTCCTCCTCCTCCTCGTCCTCGCCCTCCGCCTCCTCCTCCTCCTCCCCTTCCGCCTCCTCCTCCTCCTCCTCCTCCTCCTCCTCCTCCTCCTCCTCCTCATCCTCCTCCTCCTCCTCCTCCTCCTTCTCCTCCTCCTCCTCCTCCTCCTCCTCCTAAGCGACGATCAAAAAACGGGTCCTACGCGAGATGGCACAGCGACCTTGCGCCGCAGCCTGCGGGGGGGGGGGCGCCGGCGCAGCAGGCCACAGCCGAGACGAGGGCGCTCGCGCGCCATCCTGCGCGGGCAGCCTGCGCGCCAGTGCCGGCGAAGATGGGCGCGCCGCACAAAGGGGTGGGGGGAGGGGGGAGGGCCTCTTAGAAGGAGGCTGCTTCTTAGAAGGCGCCGGCCTTGCATCTACAGATGAGGCCCGCGCCTTCTAAGAAGCAGGGGTGCTTCTAGGAAGCCCCCCCCCCCTCCCCCCACCCCCCTCTGCGCGTGGCCGACTTCTCCCGTCGCTCACCTGGAAATGAGCACCTTTTATCCCCTCACTCACTCTCTAACTCCGTGGCGCGCAAGGCTCCTCTGTGCCTCTGCCGCTACAGCGCAGCGCGCGGAGACGCCACGCACCGTGCCGCGGCCGCTCCACTCCCGGTTCCGCGAAAGAACACACGGCATGGTTTGACGGCGGGACGTCGCGACGGGCTGAGAGCAGCCCCGCGCCCCCACTCAGACCACACACGACCTGCCATGTGGTGCCACACCATCCCCATCCCCAGCGGCGTGGCCTGGGCCCGCTGGCCGATGTAACCCCCCTAGATGGGGATATAGGCCGCCCCCTTCGGGTTTCGAGGGGCGCATCCCCGGCGTATCCCCAACTGGGGGGG